ATATATATATATGTGTGTGTGTGTGTGTGTGTGTGTGTGTGTGTGTGTGTGTGTGTGTGTAGTATATATATATATATATACTTCAGAATTAACTTGGTATTTCATATTACTATAATGGTTTAAGGGGTAATTTACAGGGTTCATTCTTACACATCTTACATCTTTACTACTAAAATTCCATGACTTTTTTATGATTTTTCTAAGACTTTCAAGTAAATTTTTATGACCTAATGTTTCATGCAATGTCTACATCAGGGGTCACCAACCTTTATGAAACTGAGAGCTACTTCTTGTGTACCGATTAATGTGGAGGGCTACCAGTTTGATAAACACCTCTCAAATAACAAATTTGCTCAATTTACTTTTAATTATACTTTATGTTTTTGGTAATAATAAATGATATTCATCCATGTGAAGACAGAAAAACCCTCAAAGTTTTGGAAAAGTCATGGAAAACAGATATCTGTGTACTTGAATATAGGTTAGTTGTCTTGACCTTCTGTCTTTGGCCAATCGCATACTCTCACGTTATTAGTGCGGTGTAAGCTTTATCAAGATACATTTTACATAGAGATAAATTTGGCATCACGGTGGCGCAGTGGGTGCCTCACAGCAAGAATGCTGCTGGTTCGAGCCTCAGGTGGATCAGTTGGCATTTTTGTGTGGAGTCCCTGTGTTGCTGTGGGTTTCCTCCTAGTGCTCCGGTTTACCCCACAGTCCAAAGATATATAGTATAGGTGAATTGGGTAGGTTATATTGTCTGCGTGTATGAATGTGTATGGATGTTTCCCAGTGATGGGTTGCAGCTGGAAGAGCATCCGCTGTGTAAAACATACGCTGGAAAAGTTGGTGGTTCCTTCCACTGTGGCGACTCCAGATTCATAAAGGGACTAAGCTGAAAAGAGAATGAATTAATATAAATTTTAACTAAATAAATTGTGGCGTGTTTATATGCTGTAGTTTGTAGCTATCCGCTTGTTAAGTGTGACGTCACGCGGAGCGGCTTCCGGGTCCAAGCGCTCTATTCAACTGAATGGGGAGATTCTTGAAATGGTAATAATAAACGTTTACAAAGCGATTTAATACTTTCGAAAGTCACCATCGCAATATATATGTCCATGCCTAATATCCGATGGCCAGAAAGTAATTCATTGTTTTATAAATTGTTAAAATTTAGTTTTTTGTTATGCAGCAAGCCCAGAGATTGTTGTGTACACTATGACTTTATATAAAATTAACTTTAATGTGCGATTTTAATAAAAATTTATCACGAACGAATGATTTCTCCACTCAAGTGAATGGCGGCTTGGACCCGGAAACAGTATTACAACGTCACAAACACGCCACCACTTAACAAGCGGATAGTTTTTCTTTTGCCACATATAAGTAGACATTGCATGAAACATTAGGTCATAAAAATTTACTTGAAAGTCTTGGAAAAATCATGGAAAAGTCATGGAATTTTAGTAGAAAAAATGTGTATGAATGAACTTTGTAAATACCCCCCATAAACCATTATAGTAATATGAAATACCAAGTTAATTCTGAAGTACAGTACCTTACATTCTACTCAAATATGCTAGTACATACTGTATAAGTGTATCCCTACCACAGTATACAACATTTCTGAACCATGGTACCATATTACCATTAGAGGGCCAGGGTTTGCTTTTTTTTTTTTAAATAAAAAATAATTAAGTAAAAAATTGACATTTTGATTCAACGCATCAACCATTTATATACTCAAGAGCATGCATTTATTAATAATAGGTCAAAATACAATATTCCATCTTTTTAGATCTTAAATATTGAGAGAAATTAATGCATATTTTACACAGCAGTAAATATTTTACATCTATATTTGATGCAAATCTATATATTTACAGCTCTGGTTGTTTAGGATCATATACAGTTAAAGTCAGAATTATTAGCCCCCCTTTGATTTTTTTATTTCTTTTTTTAAATATTTCACAAATTATGTTTAACAGAGCAAGGAAATGATCAGAGCATGTCTGATATTATTTTTTCTGCTGGAGAAAGTTTTATTTGTTTTATTTCGGCTAGAATAAAAAAAGCTTTTCAGTTTTCAAACACCATTTTAAGGTCAAAATTATTAGCCCCTTTAAGCTATTTTTTTTAGTCTACAGAACAAATCATCGTTATACAATAACTTGCCTAATTACCCTAACCTGCCTAGTTAACATAATTAACCTAGTGAAGCCTTTAAATGTCACTTTAAGCTGTATAGAAGTGTGTTGAAAAATATCTAGCCAAATATTATTTACTGTCATCATGGCAAAGATGAAATAAATCAGTTAATAGAAATGAGTCATTTAAACTATTATGATCTGGAATGTGCAGAAAAAAATCTTCTCTCCGTTAAACAGAAATTGGGTGAAAAAAAAAACAGGGCTAGTAATTAAGGGCGGTTAATAATTCTGACTTCAACTGTATTTCGTATATCAAATACATGTATTTAGTATTTGAGTGTTTTCAAAATTCTCACATCTTGAGATGATTTCAGTGGCTCTCGCCGGGCCGGTGTGAAGAATAAAGACTCAGGAGAAGCTGCTCTTTGTGGCCGGAGTGAATAAATGTCTCATTCATGTGTTGAAAGAAGAGGTCGTGACCCCTGAGCTCATGTGCTGGTGTGAGTTACGCCCATTACAGCCAAACCACTCACCTGAGACACACACACACACACACACACACACACACACACACACACACACACACACACACACACACACAGAGAGAGAACAACACTTCACTTTTACACTACCACGCTCTCTCCACATCAAAAACACACAGCTGTTTGACAGAGGGTTGCTATGCTGATCTATTTCATGCATCTTTTTATATCAGTTTGATATTCTGTCAGAAATAATGCAATGCATTTGATGTCAATTTGTAGGATTTGAAGAATGAACAATAACAATGATGATGCTTTTGAAAATATAGTTTACATATTCTTTACAGCCTAGCTGAATCATTTTGAGAGCTCGTACTGTAACTGTTTCTACACATTAAAAAAATTATGTTTGCTTTTTGTTGAAACTACTGAGCTGAAACAACTCAATTCTTTAGTTTTTTTGGGACAACTTAAATGTTTTATGTTCAATCAACTTAAATTTGTAAAAACTAATAAGTTAACTTAATTCCTTAATGTTGTCTCAACACAAATGGATTGTGTGGAACACATAGACTGTAAAAGATATGGACATAGTATGCGTGACGTCACCTATGGGTTTCTGAAGAGTGCAAATGAAGCTACAAGTAGGCGTGGCTAACCATCGCCATTTTGTTATAGCGCCATCGCACCAACTGCGGGTAACCAAACAAGGGGAAAAGAGGCGGGGCATGAGCGGAGCAATGAATGCTTGCTAGCATTTTGCTTTAATGGGCTTTGGGAGAAACGCTTAATACTTCAACTACTTGTTTTTTTTTGTTCTGACCACATATGCTTTGTTGTATACTCATTCATTTTCTTGTCTGCTTAGTCCCTTTTATTAATCCGGGGTCGCCACAGCGGAATGAACCGCCAACTTATCCAGCAAGTTTTTACGCAGCGGTTGCCCTTCCAGCCGCAACCCATCTCTGGGAAACATCCACACACACACACACACTAAGGACAATTTAGCCTACCCAATTCACCTGTACCGCATGTCTTTGGACTGTGGGGGAAACCAGAGCACCCGGAGGAAACCCACGCGAAGGCAGGGTGAACATGCAAACTTCACACAGAAACGCCAACTGAGCCGAGGTTCGAACCAGCGACCTTCTTTCTGTGAGGCAACAGCACTACCTATTGCGCCACTGCCTCGCCTTGTTGTATACTATAATAATAAATTCAGTGGCGGTCCCGGGGGGACCAGTGCCCCCTGTCAACAAGCTTGGCCGCCCCTCTGGCCCCCCTAAATTTGAAGGCGTATTTATGTGTCAAAACGGAACAGAGAAGCGAGATTAGCCATCACCGGCAAGCTGCAGAGGTTTGACTGAGGCCTTTCTCGCACTCTCTTCATCTGCTTTCGCGTGTACTTGCTCTCTCTGACGGTACTTATCAGTTCCCCGCAATTTCCAGAAGTTAACCCTCAAATTACCACAGGTAATAAAAAGACTCATCTTCAGTCTTGTTCATCTTGTGAAACACTATCAAAATGTCCACTGTTGATTATAATAGACTTTTGTTTTTAAAAAGTGATTTTAACACTTTTAACAGAGGAAGTCCTCGATGCAGAGGCTTTTATTAATCAGAAATTGTGTGTACATAGTTTTACATTAGGAAATGAAGTCTTGAATTTACAAACAGTCAGCAAGTAACGGAGAACAGATGAAACGCATTGATCAAATCATCATTCATTTTTTGTTTTCAGTCGTGAAATAAAGCACAAGTCTTCAACAGATGATGTATTTACAACACGTTTTTAAACATTTTAACAGTTTAACTAACTCAAGAACGTAAAAAAGTCTGAACACACAGAGAGATGATATTTGATTTTTATTCAAAACTGTATAAAAGGAAACAGGAGTTTTGCAAAAACAGCAACCTGAAAGGGCAAATCTAAAATTCTTTTATAATGAACAAAATGTAAAAACAAATAGTAAAAAATGCTTATAATAAAAGATTTCAAGAACTTGAAATAAATACATTTAGGCTAACTTCAATTCACTTTCCAAACGCATTCGATTTTCCTTCTTCTGTGGAATACAAACGCTGACCAGCTGCAAAAAATATTACAAAAAAGAGCAACTCAAGCACCATTAAATCTGTCCATGTTCTGATATTAAATGTTTATGTGTTTGACAGAGGGAATTATGATGACAAATATGATGACAAGATTTCAATTTCAAACAGCAGATTATTTCATGAGCATAAATATAATTATGTTACACAACACACACATCTAACCTCTCAGGTGGCATCATCAGATTTAGGAAAATTTGCTAATAAATGCCTTTTGGTATTATTTAAGTGCTGTGATAATGATGGATGTATTGATATGATGTTTTACTGTTATTCTCCAGTAAATTTCTATTAAAACTCAACTTTTCTGATTAATAATCGTTGGTGATTTGTTGAAACGTCCTGCCAGTGATGTAGTTTGTTCATAGCCTACTGTATTTCTGGTGAAGTACTTTGATTTAACTTCATAAAAGTTGTGAAGATTATCTTGATGAACTTTTGGAAATGGATATATCCTGCTGATTTTATTTTATTTTTTGTCAATGACACCGGAGTGATGCAAATTTGCAGGATGGCCCACAAGAATGCGCAATTCCAGCACTTTCACTCAGATAAATTATGATGCATTTCTTCTGAACTTTCTCTTTCCCGTTGTTCTGGTCATCATTTTATAAACATATAAAGGATGTGTTCACACTTGTAGAAGTTTGGTTTTATTGGCTTGTTTAACCCCACAAAAAAAGAAAGAAAAAAGGAAATTAAACACTGTGCCACTGTTATTTTGAAATAAACTGCCCCAAAAAATCAAGGTTTTCTTTAAATTTTGTTTAACACACCTACTAACCAGCTTGTTAGAGAAGCGCACCAGAAACTATTGTGTTCAGAACTAAATGTTTCCTATATAGTAGTGGTGGTCCCTAACTTTTTTTCACAGCGGACCAGTCAATGCTCAACAATTTTACTACGGCCCAGGGGGTGCTAGACAGAGGTCACGTTAACCGAATATTTTCCGTCATTGACGGATTTTTTTAGCAGTGACGGAAAAATCTGAAGGTGACCGGTCATTTTGATGGATTTTGCTGAGGGTGATCTATTGTAATTTTTAGCTAACTGTAATTCGCACTCCTGTCCAGCTGATGGCTAGTGCCCTTATTAATAAGCAATTGTCTTCTTTTGTCTCCTCTTTATCACCGCTGCGTACAGTTGCAAAAATGTCACGGCAGCTGAGTGTGAGAAGTTTCTTTAAACGGCCAAATAGTTGTGAAAAGCAGGTCACACACCGGATGCGTCGCTCGGTGCGGCGACACAGCGGGCACATGACAGTTAAAAGTATCGCACACCAGATGCGCACATTGGCATGATACTGATACATAATTTAACATGAAACGCAGCAGAAATATGAAAAGAGTCCTGAGTTGTGGCTCGGACAGCTGCCAACTTGCGGCGCCGGTGTGTGTACCCTGATAGAAAGGTTTAGAATTCTGAAATGCATGGCATTGCGTGGCGCTACACTGCGTGCCGCAGAGTGCCGCTTCTAGTGTGTGACCCCCTATATTATTAATAAAGGTGAAAAAAAGTGATGCAGTGGACAATGAAGAACAAACAGACTTCTTGCACAGACATGCTGGAGTCACCTGATTTGTTGACAAATGGGTTGCGGATCCATTCTTTGGCAGTTTGCGAGTCATTCCCGAATCAAGCTTTTTCCCCTTAGCAAAAAAACTATCCAAAGACGTCTGTTTCTTACTCATTTTGCTGCTTGTGGGTTTAATTTGGGTGCTCAAGTGATCAAAATGTAACCGGAGGTTGGGGACCACTGCTACAGTATATAGTGCTCACTACTTTCTAATCCCTGCACAGTAGAAATCGGCTGAACTTGAAGTTTACTTTTTTATTATTGCGTTACACTACTGTTTGCATCTTCTTTAAGTATTACAGAGGTGTGAAGGGTCTTCGGTATGATACCCTTTGAACTGACCATGCTTTCAAACTGTGATTTGACTGTTTGTCCATTTTGCAGAGCACTTACGAATTAAATTGAGTTGAATTGAACAAACTTCTGGAACAGTAAGAGAAACATACAAAATATGCAGAGCAGACGGTCAAATCACTGCGTTAAAGGGGACCTATTATGCAGAAATCACAGCTGAACACAGTTGTGTGGCAACAGTCTGTGAATATAACCAGATTTAAATGGTAACCACATATACATTTCATTTTTTATAATCACGCATGATTATAAAAGAGTCTGTAGACACACTTTGACATTCTCCTTTTGTACATGTCATCAGAGCAGGAAAGCCCCGCCCATTAGTGATGATCTCTCCTCATTAGCATAGGACGTCAGTCTTGTTTTTGAATCTGCCACTATGCTGACACACGGGCATTTGTAGCTCCGCCCTCTTTTGAAAAGAGCACAATCTCATTTGAATTGAAAGCGACAGTCACCAACATGGCACAATTAGGATCAAAGTCTAAAAGCGGTAGTTTCAAAGAGTTAGAAAACATTATTTGTGTTGTATTTTGAGCTAAACATTCACATAGATACTCTAGCGACATCAGAGACTTATTTTGCATCTTGTAAAAAGGGGCATAACAGGTCCCCTTTAAAAAAACGTGTCCAAAAAAATGTGGTACAGTATGGTTTGCTAATTTTGGTACTTCTGACAGTGGAAATCGAAATTGATGCGTCAACCAAAATGTACAGCCAAGTGGAAATAAGCAATAATTCAAATGTCAAATCAAATTCAAACATAGCAATAGCAGCAAACTTTGGTTTAATCAATTCAGACTTTCAAGGTGTGAACACATCCTAAGTCACAGGTGTCAAACTCAGTTCCAAAAGGGCCGCAGCTCTGCACAGTTTAGTTCCAACCCTAATTAAACACACCTGATCAAACTAATTGAGTCCTTCAGGCTTGTTTGAAACCTACAGGTAAGTGTGTTGAGCAGGGTTGCAACTAAACTGTGCAGGGCTTCGGCCCTCCAGGAATTGAGTTTGACACCTCTGTCCTAAGTCAACAAGAGAGAAGAATGTAAAACAAGAAAGGAAAAAAATGAAGTCAATAACACAAGCATATGTTCCTAATGCCGAGTTCAGACTGCATGATTTTAGCCCCGATTTTGACTCGCCGACAGGTTTTAAGAAATCGCAGACATATGCCTGAAATCACAGGCAAATCGCTGCTTGTTCACGCGAGTAACAATCACACAGTGTGACCTATCAAAGACGCGATCTGAGAGAATCACAAATGAGTCGCCCATGTCTGTGAGATATTTGGCATGCTAAATATCTGAAGCTGTCCGCGATTCAAATCATGCCGTGTGAATTGAGTTTTGACTGAAAATAACATTGACGATTACCTCCAGCCAATGAGAGAGCAGCATTCACTTGTGTGGGCATTGGCGCCTGCAGCCGTACGGCTGTAAGTACCTACCATGAGAGGGCGGGAGTTAATGCCGCTTTATATTTATTTATTTGTGACATAATTTAAATTGATTATTAAACAGTATCCACTACAGCTGCCTGCTTTACCACTATTGTACCAAATCGTTCTGAGAATACTTCGGTACGGTTATGGTTGTTTCTCCACTGAGCCTGGAACGGTGCATCACAATTACAAACCGTTCTCAGCCTGGAATTCCAGTGCTGAACTGTGCCAACAGATTGTGTGTGTTGACGTCGCGGCTCTGTTGCTAAGCTACCACAGAAGGCTCAGCGGAAGCGCGCTAGTTATCAGACATCCACAAGTGAACTACACTACATTTAATATGAAACAAATGACACAGGTCTGAATGATACAGTTTTAAATAGGATTTTAAAACCAGAAAGCAGTCTCTGGAAGAGAATCACTGGTCTACCACATTCTTACAAACATATTTATTTATTAAAGTTATTATTTCACTGACTTAGATATAAAATAAAAATGATTAACCTGTCATCTAAAATCTTAAAATAATAAAATAGCCTATTATTTTATTTGTGGCTAGAGCCTCATTAATTTGATTGACATCCAAGGCAATGAGACCTTTACTTTGCCTGACTGAATGTGAGTTTATTGCATGCAGCGCTGCATTTGGTAGCACAAAAACTCGCTCGGATCAGGGAGAGAACTTTACCAACAGCTGCATGCACCGCTGAAAGACTTTTTTTTCTGCTGCGCATCGAATAAAGACACGCTGAACATCATCAATGTCCACAATCCATACATCCTATATCCATGAAACACGAACTTGCAGACTCTTTGAACATTGAGGAAATAACTGCACTTTAGTCAAGCCAGGTAGCTTGTTTTGTAATTTAAAGCCGGCTCTAGCACCTGAAGGACGGTTACAGTGTGTTGTAATGTTGGCCGTCACCGGAGAAAGTCAAATCTTTCTTTATTTCTTTTTTTTTTTTTTGTGGCACTGTAGCTGTCCACTGTTGTATGATTTAAATTATAGCCTATATATGCAACAATAAACAAGTCAAATTAATGAATAAATAAAATAAATATGGATTCTTAAATGTCGGTATTGTTTTTACTAAAAAAAAACAAAAAACAACAAACAAAAATAAATGTTTTATAAAAATCAAATAAGCAATTTTCTCCATTTTCTTTTACAATTCAGTTTAATATAAGGTGGACATTTTGTTTGGGCCATGTAACATGTTTCTGTGTTGTTGTTTTTTTTTTGTCTGTGATCTTTAATATATACTGGGTGGCTACGCAAAATATTTTCTAAAATGTCAAGCAGGAATCAGTCTATAGCTTTAATTATGAAGACAATAAAATATTATAAATAACAAAAATAAAATGATAAATATACAAAAATAAAGAGCATAATCTTGCTAAATTATAACAACAATATTTGTTTTTATTTTACTTAATGCAATCGTTGTTTAAAGTTTGAATACTGAAATAACAGCCATCGGAAGGGGGCGGGGCGGTGCTGGATTTGTGCATACCTTGGAATAAAATCCTGCAGGCGCCCCTTGAGTGTGTTTACCTGCAGGCCAGCGAGAGGTTGAATGAGAAGTTAAAACTGCTCGTTTTCAGTTTATTTGGACCCAAAAACGGAGGCAAAACTAGTTTAAATATGGCATGAGCGCCCGTGTCTGTTTGAGGCATCATGTTAGCAACACCACAACCGGGTGTCTGTTTGAGGCATCATGTTAGCAACACCACAACCCGGTCAAAAAAGAAAAAGGTGGAGGGGAAATTGTTAATTCCCTTCAAAAACCAGGTGAGCAAACATGTACATTTTCTACCCCATTAAAGGCTTCTTTCCCATTATGTAGTTAATAACAAAAGATATACTACGTGTTTTTGGCTGCGAGATGTAGTTTGGACAAAGTTGTCGGCAATTGTTCCTATTGTATGCAGTGTGAACCCCCCTGTTGCTGTTCCATCTTGCCGTGTGAACAAAGCAGCGACGAAGCACTAGCTCAGATAGTCATGCAGTGTAAAAACATCTGTGACACGACTACTTTGAAAATCATGCAGTCTGAACTCAGCATAAAGTGCGATTCAACAGATCAATGTGAGAGAATGTGGCATTTACTGTGTTTGGTGGTAAATATTTCTACGTTTTTTGCTTGTTCTTCAAAAAGTTATGCTATATTTTGAGAGCGTGAGCGTGTTTCTTGCAAAGCGGTTTGCCCTTTTTGGAGAAGAAGGTCTGACCCTCCAGACTGACACTGCACACCTGAGGAGAACACAACAGATATTGATCATAATGAAAGAAAGAAGACACACACTCAGAGATCGAGCCGAACGCACACACACTCACTGTGCACACGAAGCAGGTGTCGTGCCAGGTGCCGCCCAGGGCCTCTAGAAACTTGTCTCCCGCTTCTATTGGGAAATCACAGCCACGGCAACCCGTCCCAAACAGACTGTAAAAGTCTAAACACACAATTAAACCATGATTGCAAAACACATTCCTCATACTTTAAGTATCAGCTTGAAGAATTTCTCTGATGCTCCTTGGGAAATACCTAGAATTAGGAAAGTCATATAGACATAAAAAACACAGGGCGACACGGTGGCTCAGTGGTTAGCATTGTTGCCTCACAGCAAGAAGGTCGCTGGTTCGAGCCCCAGCTGAGCCAGTTGGCATTTCTGTGTGGAGTTTGCATGTTCTCCTCATGTTGGTGTGGGTTTCCTCCAAAAGCTCCAGCTTTCCCCCACAGTCAAATGTGCACATATACTGTAGGTGAATTGAATAAGCTAAATTGTCTGTAGTGTATGTGTGTGAATGAGTGTGTATGGATGTTTCCCAGTACTAGGTTGCAGCTGAAAGGGCATCCGCTGTGTAAAACCTATGCTGGATAAGTTGGCGGTTCATTCCACTGTGGCGAATCCCTAATGAATAAAGGGACTAAGCTGAAGGAAAATGAATGAAAGAATGAATGAAAAAGACGATCAAAATAAATTGCATTACACTACTCAAAAAGGGTAATGAAAAAGGTTTACACAAAAATATTAAGGGAATAGCAGTGTTAATATTGGAGTGGTTTATCCAGCATATGTTTTACACAGCGGATGCCCTTCCAGCTGCAACCCATCACTGGGAAACATTCACACACTCATTCACACTCATACACTACGGGCACTTTTCCCATGCCCAATTCACCTGTACCGCATTGTCTTTGGACTTGTGGGGGAAACTGGAGCATCCGGAGGAAACCTACAGGAACGCGGGGAGAACATGCAAACTCCACACAGAAATGCCAACTGACCCAGCCGAGGCTCGAACCAGCAACCTTCTTGCTGTGAGGTGAACGTGCTACAAATGGAACGTGCTACCCACTGCGCGACCGTGTCGCTTGAACCATCAACTATTCCAGCATATGTTTTATGCAGCGGATGCCCTTCTAGCTGCAACCCAGTACTGGGAAATACCCAAACACTCTCCCCCATTCACACACTACAGCCAATTTTGTTAACCCAGTTCCCCTATAGCGCATGTGTTTAGACTGTGGGTGAAACTGGAGCACCTGGAGGAAACCCATGCCAACACGGGGAGAACAAGCAAACTCCACACTGAAATGCCAACTAACCCAGCCGGAACTCAAACCAGCAACCTTTTTGATGTGAGGCAACAGTGCTAACCACTGCGCCACCGTGCCACCCCTTAAGGATAAATATCCAATAGATTAATAAAAGTCTTCATTCACTCTCTGCTCAATCACACAGCACACAACAGAAATTCCTGTAACATTAAAAAGATAACGTGCGTGGCTTTTTTATAATCTGTGTGGGATGTTGTTCTTGTTGTTTTTGCCTCATTTTAGAGAACAAAAATCTCCACAATTAAAGCTAAAAATTAGCTGTATTGCCCCATATGCCACCACAAAGACAAAGACTTAGATAAGAACCTCAATCGTGTCTTCATTAAAGAATCAAACACATACAGCAAGTGCAGGAAGGTCTGAATGAGAGTTAGCTTCAGTTAGGGATGGCTGACGTGAAACTGACGTTTCGACACAGTTTCGAGATCCTGAAGCGCAAGTGGTTCAAAACACTGCACCGAAGCATGATCCGAAACACCCAAGTCACGTGACTAAAGTGTTTCGAAACACTTGAGGTGCGTTCGACATGAAGCTCAGCTGCAGACGGTGATCAACGAGATCAGCTGAGCACAGGCGGGGGCGGAGTTGAAACGGAGCCGTCAAGACAGACAGCTGGACACTTCGGCCTTTAAACTGCTAGACAGGAAATAAAATATATATTTATATTATAATAATATAACCGTTTTATAATTATTTAATAAAATAGTTCTTTAACTTAATTTGTTAAGAGAGCTTTAGGGTGGCAGGATCAATGATGATGATTATTTTATTTCAAGTCTGTAAGACTTATTTGAGTTCATATTTAGGTTATACACTAAAACATACACTAAAATATATCATTTAAATCGTTCATGGAGATGAATGCAGTAAATAGTCTGTATAAAAAAGTTAAAAATAAACCTGTGCAAACAAGCTAACCTTTATAACCAGATTATTTAACAAAAGATGATTACTGCAGTAAAATATTTGTAGTCTTTTAATAAGCAAGATGTAGAGAGGGTGTAAAAAAGTGAATTGTTTGTTTTGAAACTTTTGGATCGGAATTTGTTAAAATTTAAAACCCGAAATACAATTGTTTGTTGTCATGTGGTGAACTCGGCCAATCGTGTAATTTCAGTGTCGTCATCAAAGCTCCTGCAGTCGCTCTTCAGAAGCTGCACGGTCTGAATCAGCCGTCTGATCTCGGAGCGCTGTCGCGGTACTTTGATACCACATGTGACAGTCACATGGCGTCGGCGCAGCATCAATCCGGACAAGATTTCTGACCAGCATGCACTGCTTTAAGACTTTCGCATAAAGTCGAACGCACCTACAGTCACGTCACGTGACTAAAGTGATTCAAAGCATCGATCAGTTAAGAAGCGTTTTAAGACCTGCCGAATCTCCATGTAACTGCCAGAGTCTGAGTTTACCTGTTTCATATGGCCTAGTGGACTGTGTTTGTGCACGCTGATACTATTCTTCCAATGCCTTTTGGGTTCGAATCCCGACTTGTACATAAACATATTTCTGTTTTATGGTGTAGCCTAAATAGATTACAGCTGCGGATACGCCATCAATATAGCATCATTGTTGTAACACTAAAACAATAATAAATATTTTTACAGTACTGATGGTTGGGTTTAGGGTTTGGGTAGACGTTAATGAAATACAATAAATGGGAAATTTAATGAATAATATAACAAATTCTTGATACCCTCTAGCCACAACTGTTTCTGATCTAGCAACAACCCTGTTTTAATACCAAAACAAGAAATATTTATTCACAAAGTGTTTATTCGGATGTCAGACCAATGTCGAAACAAAACGAAACAAGAACAAAGCATTACCAACTGATATTAAAGCATTTCAAAATAGCTGTAAAAGCCTGGATTCGAACCCACTATCCCCACATTTAAGTCAGAAACCTTAACTGCTCCACTAAATCTCTGGAATATATGCTTCTACAAAGTGGAGTTTAATACCTCAATTTGCTAAAATGTTCCAGCTGAAGCTGTTTCGGTGCAATACATAAAATGACCACTAGGTGTCACTGTAGAGTGGGGTTTCGAAACGCTTCGAAGCTTCGACTCATTTTCTTCGATTGTTTCAGTGTTTCATGAAGCCTCGCTTTGCCCACCACTAGCTTCAGTGATATAAAACGCTATTTGCTCAACACAAGTAAAACAACAACAGAAGCAAGAGAAGAAACAAGCACCTCTCTCACAGTACGGCTCTCCATCCTCCAGGTGAAACGTATCATTTCTGATGGGTTGCTGACAGGAAGCGCACAGGAAGCAATACACGTGCCACGTCTGCTTGAGTGCATTGATCACTTCCTGTTAAAAGACGACATCATCATATTTATGTGGAGAGCGCATTTCCGTTCAACAGTTTGTGGTCAGTAAGACTTTTATTTTTTGGAAAAAATAGTGACATCAAGTCAAGTAACCTTCATTTCTCTAGCACTTTATGAGCTGTAGATTGCCTCACAGCTGTTTTAAGAGGATCAACAGGAAAATACTAAAAATCAGATATTTTTTATTTTTTTGTCAGACAAATTCAATATATCAAACAGGTAGAAAAATAGGGGTACAACCCTACAATGGGACAGTATGGAAAACGTAAATAAACAAGAAAGTTTTGATTTCAAAATGTACTTTGACTTGTATTTCATTGCAGACAATAGCCCCTTTCACACAGTGACATCAGTAAATATCCAGAATATCTGTTAAGACTTTACCGTGTAACGAACAAACGTTACATGCTTTAATTGTTGTTTTAGTTCCTTGTGATGTGAGAAGCAGGATTGCAGTATTACTATAGGCCACTAGGTTGCACTAGAGAGGAGTGAGAACTGGATATATTCCAGCTCACCATAGAGCAAGTGAGTCGTGTTTGGTAGAGGGAACCACATGGTAAACTTAGGCTACCGACCCACTCCGCTTCTGATTGTTTTAAGAACATTATTGTTGCTCCTAAAATGTGAGTATTGAATAAGTTTTAAGTTTGAATTGTATTATATTGAATTGTATTTTCAATATTTAGTAGTGATTTGACCTATGTTTATTTCTCATGTAGACAGGACCTGTTGTCCTAGAGATTTTCAGATGAGGTGTTTGTTGGTGCTTTCATTCATTCATTTTCTTGTCGGCTTAGTCCCTTTATTAATCCGGGGTCGCCACAGTGGAATGAACCGCCAACTTATCCAGCAAGTTTTTACGCAGCGGATGCCCTTCCAGCCGCAACCCATCTCTGGGAAATTGGTGCTTTCAATGGACTTCAATGATTTGGTTTGAGCATTCTTTATGCTCCTCATTGGCAAGTGAACTATATGTGTACACTTGGAATGATGGTCAGTGACTCTTAGGCCGGACTCACACTAGGTACAGTTGCCTCAAACCGGGCTAAAGCACGCTTGTCCCCCCTCCCGTCTCCCCCGACGGCCCGCACTCACACCACAAATGGGCCTCGGCACGCTTGCGTCATCGCTGCTTCGCTGTTCAGTGAGAAGCGCTCTCTCATTCAGCAGCACAGTGGAGATTTCTCTAGTTATATCGTTTCAGTTGTTTGTTATGCAGTAACATGCAGTCAAATATTTTGCCAAACAGTCCTTAGGGATGCGATGACATGCAGTCAAATATTTCGCCGAACAGATCCGCCACTTTTGGCGCTCATAAACAATTATAAAGCTCTCGTGCTGCAGGAATGAGGAGGTCTGCTGAAGCCGCGCAGCTGTCGTGCAGTGAGGGGTTTGCGTTTACTGAACAGTAAGAATGATTAATAAATCCATATGAAACAGCCCCTTAAAAGTCACATCTCGCTTTCAGTTTCGGGCTTTGGCGCGTTTTGCACTCACACACAAGCGTACCGTGCCAAAGCCCAAGTGAACCGCGCTCAGGCACACCTCTTCCAACCGGGCCAGGGCCGGCCAAGTGAACCGTGCTTGAGCCCGATTCAGCGCACTCACACTTCTCAAACGATCCGGGAAACGGGCCTGGGCACGGTACGGATGGCATAGTGTGAGTAGGCCCTTAAATTCCTCATCGTACTATTGTTTTCCCAGTGTGAGGAAATGGATACTATTGCATCGCACTCAAATCCATCTACGCAACATTCACCTAACCATCTATTCATTTAAACAGACTGTTTATTTTCAATGACTGCTTGGTTCTGTATATTGATTACTTTTGTTTGTGTGGACTATAAATACACCTGTTGAGAATTTAAACAAGAAGGAAAAAGAGAAAATAAAAAGTAAAAACTGGCTTGTGAAGTTTATTTTAATTTCAGTATGTGTGAAATAGATATTCTATGAACTCAGTGTAACATCATGCATGCTTAGAGGTGGTGCTACAACCGGTAAATTCAAAAAAGTGCTGTTCCCACAGGCAAGAACATTCCGAAATTTTTCCGGAAAAGAGCATTCGCACATCTATTCCAAAATACCGATCAATTCTGACATCATTAACCAGAAATGGCCTCTAAACGGCTCTGTACATTATTAAAAAATAAAGCAATGTTTAAAAGATCACAGGAGGGCTAATAATTTTGACTTCAACTGTATTTCATGTTTATGAAGCACAGTGTCACGTACCCCCAGGATCTTGTGATGGCAGCGTGAGCAGGTCGGAGCAAAGAACTCTTCATAGCAGTGCTGGCAGTAAACGGAGCCCTGTTCCTCCACAAAGCCAAGCTCGCTCAGAGAAACACTGCAGTGAGCGCAGGTGAACTCCTCCGGGTGCCACGATTTACCCATCGCCACCAGAAATGGACCCCTGGAATATACAAACATCAGTCAAGACAAACATAATCAATATGTAATACTGCTTTTTTTTTAACATATGTTAAAGTCAAGCGACGCAGTAGCGCGGTAGGTAGTGCTGTCGCCTCACAGCAAGAAGGTCGCTGGTTCGATCCTCGGCTCAGTTGGTGTTTCTGTGTGGAGTTTGCATGTTCTCCCTGCGTTTGTGTGGGTTTCCTCCGGGTGCCACGGAGTCCCTCACAGTTCAAAGACATGCGGTACAGGCGAATTGGGTAGGCTAAATTGTCCGTAGTGTATGAGTGTGTGTGTGAATGTGTTTGTGGATGTTTCCCAGAGATGGGTTGCGGCTGGAAGGGCATACGCTGTGTAAAAATGTGCTGGATAAGTTGGCGGTTCATTCCACTGTGGCAACCACGGATTAATAAAGGGACTAAGCCGACAAGAAAATAAATGAATGAATGTTAAAGTCAAAATTATTCGCCCTGCTGTGATTATTATTATTTTTTTTATATTTCCCAAATGATGTTTAACAGAGCAAGGACATTTTCACAGTATGTCTGATAATAATTTTACTTATGGAGAAAGTCTTATTTGTGTTATTTCGGCTAAAATAAAAGCAGTTTTAAAATTTTTAAACACCATTTTAAGGTCAATATAATTAGCCTCCTTAAGCTATATTTATTTTTCGATTGTCTACAGAAGAAACCATCGTTATATAATAACTTGACCAGTTAAGTCTTTAAATTTCACTTTAAGCTGAAGTATTTCAAGTACTAGTATCTTGAAAAATATATGGTAAATCATTATGTACAGTCATCATGGCAAAAACATAATAAGAAATAAAACAAATAAGACTTTCTCCAAAAGAAAAACTGTTAGGGGAAATACTGTAAAAAAATCCTTAATCTGTTAAACATCATTTGGTAGGAAGGGCAAATGATTTTTGACTTCAATCATATCTGTGTGTACCTGATCACCATGTCGCAGTGAGCACACATAGGAGTGCGAGTTCCAGCAGGAATGTGTTCTGCCCGCTGAACCAAAGAGGCTTCGTCTTTAGGGTGTGGGCGGGGCATGGGCCGATCCAGGGCGGGGCCTAGAGGTGTACTGCTGCTCACAACACCAAATGTGGGAGTAATGAAGCCTGCAGAAGGACATAAAAACACACAAATACACAGCATGGGATGCTTTAACACTTTAATTATAAAATATTTAGGATATTTTGAGCTATTTCTGCGCAGAACTTTGTATATTTTGGGAATGTAGTAACTTAAAACTTTAAACATGAAATAAAAATAATATGGCGGCACGGTGGCTCAGTGGTTAGCACTGTCGCCTCACAGCAAGAAGGTTGCTGATCCGAGTACCAGCTGGATCAGCTGGCATTTCTGTGTGGAGTTTGCATGTTCTCCTCGTACTGGAGTGGGTTTTTTCCGGGTGCTCCAGTTTCCCCCAAAGTCTAATCCAAACACATGCACTATAGGTGAAATGGGTATGTGAGTGTGAATGTGAGAGTGTATGGGTGCTTCCCAGTACTGGGTTGCTGCTAGAACAGTTGGCGGTTCATTCCACTGTGATGACCCTTGATGAATAAAAGAGTAAGCTAAAGGAAAATGAATGAGTGAATGTAAAATAATATTATAGAGCACCTCTCATAGTCAAAAAGGGCTTTACAGTAAAATAAATAAATAAAACATTCCAAACAGGTTTAATTCCAAGTACAAATACCGCACAATTTTATGAAGCTTATGTGTTGGAAGGCTGTGGTCAGACGTTTTGGGTCTTCAGGTGTGAGGTTACTGTGTGTTCTTACCTGCGCTGTTTCTGACAGGTGTTGCTGGAGCTTTAATCATGGTTTTAACAGGACAAGTGATGTGAGCAGAGGGTTGACAATCATCCACATCCTCACTGAGAGAGAAAGAGATAAAAAGAGAGAGAAGACCAGAAGAGTAAAACTCAGGGTTCAAACTCATTTTTACTACTAAAATTCCAAGACTTTTCCAGAACTTTCAAGTCCATTTTCATGACCTAATGTTTCCTGTAATGTCTACATATTAGTGCTGTCAATTTATTAAAATGAATTGACTAATTAATCACACTTTTTTGAAAATTAATCGCGATTAATCACATTTAAATAATTGAAACTTGTAATGTTGGCTATTCAAATGTAAAATTAATGTAAACGCAAGACAAAAACTAATAAATTAAACAAATAAACAAAAACTTAACAAATATAATTGTTTATAAGATTTTTTGTTTAACTTGTAACACAGATTTCTTCCATCAAGATCCTGGCTTGACAGCCATATTTATTAAAGAAATAAAAACACAGGCATGTTAATACCATTAGAATTACAAAACAATCAATGCCAATAAAGAAAACATTGATTTCTAAAATGGATTGTTAATGGACTACAAAAAATGCCAAAATACAGCCATTGCACATATGGAAAATGGAAAATTCTAATAACAATAAAGTATTGAATACAAACAATTGCACTCATTGTAAATGTGTATTGATGTGAGTTGAGAACATTAATTTTAAAGTAGAAACAATTTTGCTTAATTCTCCTTTACATTCAGACAGTTGTTAAGACAGTCCAGTCTGTTGACATTATCGGGGGACAATGTGGACTTTTTCTTTTGAATGATGTGAGCTGCGAGTGCAACGCAATCTCACGGCAATTTGTAACTTTTTGATTTAGTGGCTAAGGACAACGACGTTTAGGCAGGTTTGTTGCTAAGAAACCATAGACACTCACACACACACACACACACACACACACACAACCTGCACAGGACAGGGCAGCCGGAGCGACTTCAGATTCAACACGCAGATCGCGTTCATCAAATTTGCTGAAACTAAGCATTTTAAAGTATGGCTGTATTTACAAAGATTCTGACACAACAACGTGAAGCAGACACTTGTGTTTAAGGGGGAAACTCCGATTTAAATATGATTAAGATAATACTCTTATTAAGAGTCTACCACGTAAGCAGTGATTTTTGATTATCTTAAAGGACCACCATTTCACAAAATGCGGAGGTTTTTCTTTCCATTCGCCATGGGGTATCAAATTCCATTAAAAAAGATTTTGATGATGCCTACACAGCACTAACAATGTGAGAGCAAGTGAATGGCCAAGGACAGAAAAGAACCAAGGACAACTAACCTATACTAACCTATAACATTTTTTTAAAATAGTTTTTCTGTGGACTCTTAAATTTCAAAATAAACTGTGATGCACAGCAATGAATGCGTGTGTGTGTCGTTATTACGATGATATGTACTCCATATCTAATAAGCGTTTTCTGTACAACTTACACAAAATTTAGCAAATACATTCTTTATAAGCTTCCCATTAAAAAACAACTAGCTGCAATGGCTGCTTGATGGTTGTAGCTTTAAACTGATGTACAGTTTGTCAAGATTACTCATGTTTATTTTGATGTAATCTATTCATAAACATTGACGTGGAAAAACAGCGCCCCAAAGCGTCCGCTATCAATCTATCTTCCGGGGCGCTGCACGGTGGCTGACCCAGAGCCTTACGCCAAACATATGTGGTTTGTTTGTTTTGTTTTTTATTATTTGTGTTTTATGTTTTTATCACGTCTGTGTGGAGGAGCTTCCTGCACTGTTGAATATGGAGTTGATCAGGACATGGATCATTTAGAACGCTCTGTGGTTTTCATTTTCCGTCAACAACAAATTGGCTGTGTCTAAGGTGTGATTTATTTAAGAGAGCACCTGTAGTCTCTACAAAGACACGCAGGGCAGATGAATATTGAACCGATAAAACTGGATTGCTCCGAAATTATATGTAATCCAAGATTTAAAGGAAGAAGCTTGAAGAAAATTTTTTATACCATCTGCTATTAACATACTGAATAAATGACCATGAAGTAGTTTGTATGTCTATGGTTGTGTATTGGTAATCTGTGGTGTAGGAAGCTCTGTGTTTATGCTCTGTGTTTTGTATTTACGATGTTTTGGAGGCCAAAAATGAATTTCTACTTGTGTGGACAATAAAGATTTTTAGATTCTAAATAATGGAGTAAAAGTTTATCATCTGCATGCATTTTTAAAGAGATAGTTCGTAGTTCCCGAGTCATATTGAAGATCTGTTCAAAATGAACCAATCGTTCATGAACGACCCATCACTACCATTTTCATTTCATTCTTCACTTGTTTCAAACATTTATGAGTTTTCTTTTTATTAAATGAACACAAAGAGAGTATATTTAAAAACTACAGTATTGAAACAAGAGAAGTGTGAGTAAATAGTGAGTACAGTTTAATCTTTGAGTGAACTGTCCCTTTATGGCCTTTGACTGTGTGAACATTTCAATATTTCATTTTATTTCATTTTCTTGTCGGCTTAGTCCCTTTATTAATCCGGGGTCGCCACAGCGGAACAAACTGCCAACTTATCCGGCAAGTTTTTTTTACGCAGTGGATGCCCTTCCAGCCGCAACCCATCTCTGGGAAACATTTACACACACATTCACACACTACGGACAATTTAGCTAACCCAATTCACCTGTACTTTGGACTGTGGGGCAAACCGGAGCACCCGGAGGAAACCCACGCGAAGGCAGGGAGAACATGCAAACTCCACACAGAAACACCAACTGAGCCGAGGTTCGAACCAGCGACCCAGCGACCTACTTGCTGTGAGGCGACAGCAATACCTACTGCACCACTGCCTCGCCCATTTCAATATTTCAGAGTTTAAAACATCGGGACACAAGAAATGTTTTGTAGAGTTAATAAAGATTAAATAATATACAATGAAGACTTTGCAGTGTTGATTATTCAGTATGTGTACCTGAATAGTGAATACCTGAAAACTATCATTCACTTTTATCTTCACTATATTTTATTTATCCATGCTTGTCATTTATTTGTTATATATTATTGGAGATTCACTCCTCTACAAAATCTCCCCAATTATTCCAAATAAACCTGTTAAATCATCTGGTGAAATTGTGTTTACATCACAATATACATCACAGAAATACAAAATACTGTAATGTCAGACTTTTCCAATATGGCACAGTCCTAATTCAAGTATAAAGATAAAATTCATTTCCATGACATTTTTCTAAACTTTGTGTTTTTTTTTTCCCTAAACTTTTCCGGGCCTGAAAAATGCCATGTCAAAATTCCATGACTTTTCCAGGTTTTCCATGACCATTTGAACCCTGAAAACTGCATGAGGCTGTTTCTTCAAGTCAATACAAGTTAAGCTTTGTTGCTATTCTGCTACATGTCTGGACATTTAGTGGACAGAAATGTTGTGTTTCGCAGGACTGCAGTGCTACACAAATATACATAATCATAATCATGAACAACACTGGACGTAAGAGCTATTTTAAACCTATACATAACCAAAGTCCCTTTAAGGCAGAGGTGTCAAACTCAATCCCTGGAGGGCCGAAGCCCTGCACAGTTTAGTTCCAACCCTGCTCCAACACATTTATCTGTAGGTTTCAAACAAGCCTGAAGGACTCAATTAGTTTGATCAGGTGTGTTTAATTAGGGTTGGAACTAAACTGTGCAGAGCTGCGGCCCTTTTGGAACGGAGTTTGACACCTGTGCTTTAAGGCAAGTAATGTCACTCGGCGGCTATCTTTTAAACGCCTCTCGGGCAGTAGGCTCAGGCATTCTGTTTGAATGGGGAAACATCAAATTCTCCAAAACTGCTTGCCAAGCTTAGATTACATTTCATATTACGAATAACCAATAAAATTAAACAACAGCTGTCTATTTAGTTTAATTCCTAAATGTTCATATCACACAAAATCTGCAAAAACTCACGTTTGTTAGAGCCCCTCCCTCAATGAATTGTCTTTCTATAGCGATTGTTGATTGGCTCCTGGACTAGAAGGCAGGCTTTATTCACCATATAGAAATCGCTGATTGGCTCCTGTACTAGAAGGCGGGGCTTCATTCATATATTCCAAAAAGGTTAGAATCACCAAGAGGCGACACTCAATAGAACGTTACATTGCATCAGCAGCGCCCAGCAACAGCCCCGAATTCCACCATTTTGGAGTGAAAGCGGTCGGCCGTCCATTGGATCTTATGGCTGTTGTGATGGCAAGCAGCTGCTTTGTTTTTTATTTATTTATTTAAAAAGCGCATTAAAGCTGAGAAACAATCGGAAAGACGACAATACAACACATACTATGACAACTATCAGCACTTCAACAGTTTATTTTACAGACTTATAATATGCTGTTGTTCTATTGGAGTTTTCATTTCAAAAATGTTCGCCGCGCCATCTAGTGGCTGTTTCCCAAATCGCACTAGAGTGTCACCTCATTCTATGCTCTTTGCAGTTACACTTTTCCCCATTCAAAAGTATACAAGAGTGACACGTCTTGTGTATTCTACTGTCTTTGACATAACTAACATGAAGGGCGGTACGTTGGCTCGGTGGTTAGCATTTTCGCTTCACAGCAAGAAGGCCGCTAGTTTGAGTTCCGACTGAGCCAGTTGGAATTTCTATATGGAGTTTGCATGTTCTCACTGTGTTGGTGTGGATTTCCTCCGGGTGCTCAGGTTTCTCACACAGTCCAAACACATGCGCTATAGGTGAACTGAGTAAGCTAAATTGGCCATAGTGTATGAGTGCGTGTGTGAATGAGTGTACGAGTGTTTCCAAGTACTGGGTTGTGGCTGTGTAACGGAGGCCAGCTAGTGTGTGCTGTGCAGATAAACCTCACTCCTCTGACCTCTAAAGGTGCTCTAGCGACAGATGCTAGAGGCCATGGTCTTTAGCCTCCTTGTTAGAGCAACCGACTTCCATGCGGAAGGTCGCTGGTTCGAAACCAGCTCGGAGAGGGTTGGGTGGGGTAGGACCGGTGGGTTTACAGCTGGAAGGGCATCCATTGCATGA